GAGAGAGGAAGGGCAAGGCCTATGTGGGATCCATCATTATTTACACATTTCCTCAAAACTCATACACAAGTGCTCAGTTTAGTGCACTGAGAAAAAAAGCTTTGTGTGAGGCATTAGTGGAAATACCTGTGTATTTGCACTCACACACTCACTCACTTACACAGACACACATTGAAACATGTGACATAGTTTTTGACATGTGCAAACTCACGATCTATTGAAAATGATGAAACATGAGCAGACAACTGTATATAGAAGAATATGCATAGAACATACCAGGGATGGGAATTAGGAATAACAGGGTAAGGAGAGAGAGAGTTACAGATGTGGAAAGTCAGAGGTATAGAAAAAGTTCCTCTGCACTAACTGCATATTAGAGGCCCGGTGAGGACATTCAGGCAGAGGTATGAGATGTGGGGAGGAGCAAGTGTTCGGAAGATGTCAGGTACTATGTATAACTGACATCAGCTGCCGACCTCCAACACCCATCCTTTGAAGGGCCAGTAACACTTGGTTACAACTACTGTTCTTCAGCAGGGTGAGAATCTGAGGTTCTCCTCACACCTGCTCTGCCTCCCTTCTCTCTGCCACTACAGCTCCCACTCTGCTGGGACAGCTCTCACAGTCAACCCAAATATTGAGTCTGGGCTGAGCGCTCTAAGAATTCCACTTGCCTCCAGAACTTGATGAGATTAACAACTTCATGAAAGACTTAAAGAAATTACATTGCCTATAGTCCAATTACTAGATCATTCATCTGTTTCTCTCATTGGAAGGTAACAATTAACTCAGTGTTCTGTGTGCTTACCAGTTGACATCTATTTCACCCAATATCCAAGTCTCTGTTTCTCTCCTTCAACCTCCCAAAGCAAATGGAGTTCCTTCACAAAGATAAATTCTGAAAGTAGCAATTCATTTCAACCTGCAAATGGGCTTATGAGTCTGCAGAGTCCTAATTGATGTATCTGAGCAGATAGAAGAAAGTCAATGAGTAAGGCAGGAATCAGGCTTATGACTTATCCAGGCAGACGTGTCTTGCTTTACAATTGGCCTGAGCATGAAGAGTCTAGGGCAGGGAAGGGACAGAAAAGTGGTGAAATTGCCCTCCTGGGAAAGAGAAAAATTAAGGCTAGATTATTAGCCTCCCCAAAACACCCAGGAAAAAAAAAAAGCAACACACAGAAACTGGCCAGGATAGAGATTTTGGTTCTGATGATGTGCTTTGGTCAGGGGCTGGGGAAGAAATCTATAAGCTCTAAAATATTTTCTCCATGTACCAGTGAAAAAGAAAGGAGCAAATAAATTGAAAGAATGAACCAAGGCCATCAATTCAGCTCGCATAGACTCTTAGCTTCTTTCTCCAAAGTAAACAGGACTCCTGAGTCTGACGCTGCTGATTCACAATCGAGGTAGTATCTGCCTTACAAATTAGAACATAGTTACTTTTTTCTGGTTATTAGGACATCCTTGGGGAGGGTGGGGACTATGGGTACCAGGGATTATCACCTCCCCAGCACTAATCCCAGTGCCAGGAGATTTGTTTAAGGAAGTCCTACCCCAGTTTTAGTGTCTGCCAGGAAGTGTGCCTTCTCACATATGGGTTTCACAAAATTTAGGAAATGGCATTTACCCAAATTCTGACAATAGTAATCCTTCCCAAATAAAAACAGTCTATTATTTTACTGACATTATTCTAGTAAACATGTTTATTGAAGTATGACAAGCTTTCAAAAAATTATAAATGTACAAATCAATAAAATCAAAACTATCATAAAATAAACACACCCTTGTACCCATCAATTAAATCAAGAAATACCATATTTTGGGTGCTGACAAGATTATTTTTCTCAAAGTGAGTATTCAATTGTGTTCACATGATAGAAGCCAAGGGCACTCCCAGGTAATTTATGTACCTTCTAATGCAACTCTAATTCATTTTACAAACTAGAAAACAGATACTCAGTTGCAGGAAGGGAAGTGAATTTCCTGAGGTCACAAAGCAAGTTAGAGGAAGTGCCAGGGTTTCAGGTTCCTTCTTCCTGTTTCTATTATCTCAAATTCCTAAGAAGTCTTAGCTAACCAGCGAAGCAAGAGAAACCTGCTCTTCATGAGGACTCCTTTTTCCAGAAGTCTGAGGTTAGCTCTTTCTTGTCCACATGAAACCAGGCTCTGAGAAGCGGTTGCAGAGGCAATAGACAGCACTCTAGAAGCCACAAAAACCATCATATCTCTGTCAGGGCTCCCAGCGCATGACAAAATATGTGTGAAGTGAATTAATGAAGAGGCTCTTTAGAGTATCCACACAAGTTCTCCCCTCTGCTATTTTCATTATTACACTGGTCATTTTGTCCAGTAGCCTATAAGATGAACTTCCTCTTTTCTAAAGAGGTTATCAGAAGGATGGACTTGGATCACTAACTGTATCATATGAGAAATGAGAGAACTGGAGAAATTCAATAGATGAAAGAGAAAATGTAGAGAGCAAAGATGACTCTCTTCAAATAAGTTTTGTCAGGAGGGAAAATAAAAACATAGATTCCATTTGACCACAGAAAGCACAAGAAGGGTAAATGGATCTCTTATTTTTCATGAAAAAAAAGTTCTCAAAAATAAAAAATAAGCTCAACTGATAGAGGACTGGGTAAAGAAAAATGGAATACTATTCAACTATAAGGAAACATGAAATGCTACCATTTACAGCTAGATTCTATGTAGCAAGGTAAGGGGGGGGGGCAAATAGTGGACCATTTCACAGACATGAGTAAAATAGATAATCAAAGTGGATGGACTGATAAGGCATAATAATTGCAAACTAGTGGACACTGATATCCCAAGTGAGGTATCTCAGGTTAAGAGGGAGGGACAAAAGGGGCAGCGGGAGGGAGAAATGTTTAATAAAGTAGGTGGTTGGACAAAAAAAAAAAAAAAAAAGTAAGTTCATCCTTGCTGTCTCTACTTAATTTTATCTCACACTTTAATCCACAGAATTTTTTTTTTTTTTAGTTCCAGCCTATCTATGGAATTTTCTCAACAAGCTCATGTAATTGAGTTTATTAGATATTTCCCACTCTTTCTTCCTTAATGACTTTGGCACTGTTACTGCTGACATCATCATTCTTGAATTCTCATTTCCTTCTATTCCTGGGAACTGCAAGGTTCCCATTTTTCTCCTACTTCCTTGTTTATAACTTAAAGTCTCCGTCATGGAGATCCCCCTATGTTTCACAAGCTGGTGTTTATCAGAATACACACAAATTCTCTCTTTTAGCAAACTGCTTCCTCACTGTTGAAACATCTATGAAACATCACCGAAACATCTATGACTCCCACACCATATCTCCAAGTCAAATCTCTCCCAAGTCCACATCCATTCACAAAAGAGTCTACTACAGCACATTTGCTCACCCATAGGTACTGCTAAATCATCTCATCCAAAGATAAACTTATCATCATCTTGCTTTCCCTATAAACTTGTTGAATGAGATCACAGTTACACAGTTTCCCAGGCCAGAAAGCTGCCTTCTGGGTAACAATTGAGCAAGAAGAGGAGAGCAGTCCTCTTGCTTTTAATTCCTTAATAGCTACTGATTTCTCTACTTTTCTCTGCTCCTATTGCCACAACCTCAATTTATCTCTTAAGAATCATTTTTAAAAGTCTTCTAAGTGGTCTCTCTACTATATTACTCTCAAAATTATATAGCATGAAGCCAGAAGACTAATCTTCCTAAAATACAAGTCAGATTGGGTCACTGTTCACTTAATCTTCCCATGGTGATTCAAATAAAATATCAACCCCTGAGTATGGTAGGCAAGACCTTCACAATCTGAAACCCAACTTACCTATAAGTGTCCACATCTCATCACATCTCTTCCTTCCCTTTTCTTCTTGCTGCCCCAACACATACTCATACACACACTCATACTCTTTGCCTCAGACTTGCTACTACACCTTTAGTATCTCAAATCCACCAAAATCCTCCTCATTTTCTCTCTCTGATAATCCCTACTGCCTTTCTTGTCTCAGCTAGAGGGCAGGTAGAGGCTTCCTTAACAAACCTTGTCTCAGAGTTACACGCCTCTCCTGGTAGATCATGTGTATCCCTATGACACTCTTGCTGCCTATTAGCTTGCCTTCCCTGCTAGTACTTATAATCCCTGATCTAAGGGTTCTGTGTATTCTTTGCACCAAGTAGAGCTCATAAAAAATCATTTATTATGAATAAGCTGGAAAAAATAGATCAGTAATAAATATCTTCACTCCATGGAGCACCCATGACAGAAAATGTAAAGGCAATTCAGCTGAGAGGATATCTCTCGTCAGGTGCGATGGAACCAGACTTTACAAGAGAAACTTTTCTAAGTGCTTCAATTTCCACAAATTTAACATGAATGGCACTTTAGAAATGCCATTTTCTTCTGGTCTTAGTGTACCATGATATTTCTTTTTTTTTTTTTAAGAATTATTTATTCATTCATTCATTCATTCATTCATTCATTTATTCATTTATTTATACAAGCACTGGGTACAGTCAGAAGCATGGGAGGGTGAGAGAATTCACTAGAGCCAGAGCAGGAAACAGAACAGGCAGACTGATGAAATACACTGCTGAGGGAAGCAGCGAGTGCGGCAGGAGAGGTCTGCGCACCATGTGGGACCCTCCTCCTCAGGTGGCCAGGGAGCAGCTGGGGAATGAACCGGAGCTGCAGAGGCTGCGGGCCACTTCGCAACCCAGCGCTCAACCGCTGCACCACCGGGGAGGCCCTGTACCATGATATTTCATCAACCCATTCTGTAGTCATTGTCTGTGATGGATCTCCATGAGCAGTTTGGAGATCTGTGAGGAGAGGAACCACATCTTCATTTGTCCTTGTAGTAGTCCATGAAATGCTTAACCCTTCAACATGTCTCTGTATCACAGTGACCTCAGTCACAAAGGTTGTCACTGATGTCGTCTGAGCCAATAGAGACAGAGTAAGAAAAAAGTTGCTTCTGCCTGAAACTACCCTGAGGAGTGAGTGACAAATATGAGAGCCTTTCAAGACCAGGTCTTAAATACAACACAGATATTTCTCTCTTATTGGTCATATAACTCAAGGACAGCAGTATTGTAATGAGAGCTACATTAAATTCTTAAAATGGTGACTGCTAAACTAGACACTAAATTTGACAAGATAGTTAGACACAAAAACTTGATACAATATCAATCTAAGACAATGTTGATCCATTTTTACTCCACCTCAGTGAGAATGTTAACACCTGGAATTAACCTGTTCTACAAGATGCTGTGAAGATTTAAATGAATCAGAGCGCTCCACCCAGAGAGAGAGAAGGTAAGAGATAGAATAATGGAGATAGTTCTCATTAAATAATGAGCACCAAAAGACAAGAATGGGGAAAAGAAATCAATTCTGACTCAAGAATTACCTTTGAATTCATTTTAACAGGATTAAAAAAAAAAAAAAACAGTACAGGATGCTAAAGAATAAAACTAAAAGGAAAAAATTTTCTCAACTTGTTAAAGGTAGTTAGATAAAAGGATGAGAAACAATAATATCCGTAACAAAGTCCCCCCTTTTAGTATTTTAGTAAGAAAACAAAACAAACAAAAAACATATTTGTATCTATGAAAACATAATTATACATGTACATCGTGCATAAGTGAAGCTGGAATATTAGACAGTAAGGAAAATTGTCCACATGTGACCTGTTACAACTACTGTGAAAGCAAGGAGCAACATCAACCAGAAGAGACAATAAATGCCCTGAGAAAATTAAAACTCTACCTGAGATAATCACATTTCCTCAACTCTGTAAATGTGTTTCTCACACCCACCCAGCATACTGGGGAAGAATAATGTTTGCTTTTGATCAGCCTTTCTATAAATTTATGACTTTAATCACAAAGCAATCAGGAGTAAGATTATAAATCAGGAAACAATCAATCAAAACAGTGATTACTAAATGTGATCAGTAACACCATTTTCCTTTGTTAAGTGTGCACACATGTTGTAATAGAGCCTCTCAATTTCTTTATCTGTGAAAATATGCATGTTAATGCCTGCCCTGTTTCATCCACATGATTTTTGTGAAGATCAAGTGAAATATTTGTCAATGTACTTCGTAAACTATGGAATACCTTGATCTTCCCACCTTTTGAAAAGACACCCAGAGCTTTTAGAAAAGACTGATTCCTATCTTGATGAAATCAAAATCACTGGTAAGGGGCCTCCCTGGTGGCACAAGGAGTTAAGCACAGCAATGTGAAACTATCTGCAGCCTGTGCAGCAAGAGTTCTATCCTCAGCTGGCTGGCCTGGGAAAAACCCACATGGCGCAGCAGACCTCTCCTGTCTTGCCCGCTGTTCCCCTCAGCAGTATTATTTCATTCAGTCTGCCTGTTCGATTCCCCACTCTGTCTCTGGTGAATCCTTTCACCCCACCCCCAACCCGCACCTCTGGCCTGTACCCCAGTTCTTGTATGCATAAATTAAAAAATCTTAAAAAAAAATATCACTGGTAAGATGAAGAGGCTAACAGTTAGGAAATGCAATCTGTTTAGACCAGGATTTTGCCAATACTTCATAGACAGCAAGAGTTCAGCTTCACCCAGAGAACCAGATAGAAACTGATGAGAATTCACTGCCGCCCAAGGCACCTGTACACACATTTCCTATGTAGAGCTGGGCTGCTGGATGGTCCCTTCAGAACTTAAAAACAGTGAATGAACATCTGTGGTTTATATAATGAGTCCTATTTGTGAGTGGAGAAATTCAAGTGAATGAAGACATTTGACTACTCAATAGAACTCTTTTGAGAATAAGTGTCACCAAAAGTAGGTTAGAGCATTGGTGCAGAGTATCACTGATTGGTGGTATGTATGTGAACTTCATAGCATTCGAAGAGATCATTGAAATGTTTGACATTTCTCTAAAACACGTTTCTTGCTATCTATGAGGGAAGTTCTATCTTCCCTTCTTAATGAGCTGGGCCAATCTATAATAACCAGTTCTATTCCTAGTTAATATTATTCATTACTTCTTCTCTGGTATCCCAAGAAAAATAGTCAATTCCGGGCTCCAAATACCATTAATCTTTGATTGTGAAACTCCATAATTCTTGCAACAACACTTAAACAGTGCATAAACCTATAAGAAGATGCTACAGAGAGTACCTGCAACCTACTTTCCTATTAGGAGTGACCGAATATAAAATCTTCAACTTAGAAGGAAACTTACATACATGTGAGTTCAACATCACATCCGCTATAGACGACTCTAAGATAGTTACTTTGGCTAACTAATAATGTTACCTAACTATAAATTAGGGTTGATGATAAAGAAATGGAATTAACCAGTCCATCATCGGAAGCTATGTTAGAATATTTGAATATATGAAATATGGAGAGAGATCACTGTAAATAAGGAAGGGGTATCTCTAACTATTTACTTATCTTCCAGACACAAATCCAACCTCACTCCTTTTTAAAATGACATTTCTATATTTGTATTTTTGTAAAAGCTAAACTACCGAAATGTAGTTTAGATTGAATATTCTGTAGCTTTAAGAAACACATCCATGGTATATTATATTATATTATAAATTATAATATAAGACATAGCACTATACTATTTTTTATAAAAATAAAATATGGATACATGTATGAATGTATGAAAGAAAATCTACAAAGGTATTCACCAAAATGTCAACGTTTTTCTCTAGATAGTGAGATTATAATTTTTGTGCTTAATTATATTTTCTAATTTTCTGAAATGAAAGTATTATAACAAGGATAAAATGAGAAAAAAATGTTATTTCTAGTCAAGACATTTGAAAAGTTAAAAGGTGTTTTTTAAACACATTTTCATCACAGATTTCCCATTCTCCAATTCCCACCATTAAGAAAAAAATATATTCTGTCTCATAGAGAAAACAAATCAAAATCTGGCTTTTCAAAATTCTGCAAAAATTAAAGTCAGAAGACTGAAGTTTATATCCAAGTAGATCCTATTTCCTGTATGTGGAAAGTTCGGTTATTGAGCAATGACTTTTATCTGCCCACTGATATGCAAAGCTATGGCCAGGAAATAAAATCAAAAGAAGCTTTGAGAAATGGAGAGAGATAGTGTCTCTTGGGCAAGTTTTATTATAAAAAGTTACAGAGCTGCTATATAGGTCAAGAAGTTACAAACTTGTTATGTAAATTATATACTGGGCGGTGGGGGAGGGGGCGGGGGAAGGAGCCAAGAATATTTGTCTTAGAGAGATGAATCAAATGTACTGCCAATGAAAATAAAGTCCTTAGTTACAGATGGCTGGACAGAGTAATTTGACAGAAGTTCTAGTATTCCCAGTAAAAGTAGTAGCTAGTGGAGTTTGAGAAGGAAGAGGTGGCAGTGATCTTATTTTATTTTCATATGGAGAAAAGTGATTTTAATGAACTCAAATAACATTCAGTTGAACACTCTTTAGTAATTGGTATTAATTAATGTCTATGTAAAGAAACTGAACTCCATTCAAAAAGTGATAATTAGCACAACTCTGCCAGGAAGACCATGGAACTGGGGATACAGTGTAGGAAAGTCTAGTCTATTCTCTTAAGGAACATATCAACATGGAAAGACCATAAGCCAAACAGACAATTAGAACACAAGGCATTGAAACAGTTATACAATCAGGGATATGGCAGCATTGCGACCGAGTGACCTTATTTTAAACAGTAGCCTGGAGGAGGGATAGTGAGGGGTGCTTGTTGAGGGGGGTTATTCCACACCAACCTGGTTTTGACATGGGTCAGATTTCAAAACATTGGTCTAAAACAAACCAGAGTAAAAGTCTTTCCTTCCTTCAGCATTTTGTCGAAGGAGTTACAAGTGACACATAACCCACATTTCTATGAGAAAAGATCAAGGGAAAATACCTGGGTAAGAAAATGCTTATCCCAAAGCATAGCCTTAGACCTTGTTCATGCTTGCTAACTTTCCAGTGTACCTTCTGATATCAGTACTTCTCTCTGAAATACATCTTTCTTTCTTTTTTATTTTTTAAGATTTATTTATTTATGCATACAAGAGCTGGGGTACAGGCCAGAGGTGTGGGGGGTGAGAGGATTCACCAGAGATAGAGTGGGGAGCAGAAAAGGTGGATCTACTGAAATACTCTGCTGAGGGAAGCAGCCCGTGAGTCAGGAGAGGTCTGCTGCGCCATGTGGGTTGCTCCTTGGGTGGTCAGGGGATCAAACTCGTGCTGCAGTGGCTGCAGACAGCTTCATAGGTTGTGTCTTAACCCCTTGTGCCACCAGGGAGGCCCTGAAATACATCTTTCTTAATAGAGATGATGTTACTTATATATGGCATTGAACACGATGTTGTTCTTTTTCTTCTTTTTTTTGCTTTTATCTTTTGACTTTTACAAAACTTTAATTCTTGTTTGTTTTCAGTTGTTAAGTTTCAATCCTGTTTGGGAGCTCAGCCAATCAGTAGGAGTAGCTAAGCCACACAATTTAGCTTCCTCTGTCAGAGCCTGAAATATGTCTTTACTTTTGATTTAAACACAACTTTGTGTGTGATGCATCAAGATCACTCACCTATAACTCAAAGGCACAAATGTTTGGATAATTAATTAGGTCAACCTTTCCACAAGATAATGGACAAGAAGCAGGAAAGACACAAATTGATTCATTTCATGTAATCAATTCCTGTATCAGGAAATAGTCTGACATTGTAGAGAAAGCTTTAGGCTTCGATCCAGCCTCCACCACTTACTAGCGCCTGAGGTTAGGCAGCAATTTAAAAATCCTTAGCTTCAGTTTTCACAAATGTGAAGTGGATATAATTAGAGGAGTTAATGGATCTAAAGACCTAGCAAAATACCTAGTGAAATAGAGTAGGGTTTCAAAACATAGTTTTAAAAGTTTGGGAGAAAGGAAGTTTAGAAGGATCTAAGAATCTACTAATATATGTCAAGGAACTCGAAATATTGGATGCAGACTTTATGATAAATAGTGGTGTAAACCTTGGAGAAGCCAGGAAATCCAGGTTCAGGTTAAGTCATTTTTTCTCTTTTATTTTAGGAGGTTGTTGAACTACTTGATTCCCCAGTTTCCTGACAGTTCTATTAGCCTAAGGTTCCACAAGTTCCCATTTTAAATCAAGATGGAGGACTAGGGCCTCCCCGGTGGCACAGCGGATCGAACACTGTGCTGTGAAGCTGTCCGCAGCCTCTGCAGTGCGGGTTCGATCCCAGCCAGGCTGGCAAGAATCCCACATGGTGTGCAGATCTCTCCTGTCACGGCTGCTGCTCCCCTCAGCAGTGTATTTCTGTCATCTGCCTGCTCTGCTCCCTGCTCTGTCTCTGGTGAATCCTCTCACCCTCCCGCACCTCTGGCCCGTACCCCAGCTCTTGTATAAAAATAAATAAATTAAAAAAATAAATAAAGATGGAGAACTAAGGGCTCTTTACAAAGTAGTTCAGATACCAAAAGCACAACTGGAATATAATTATTTTTACCACCTTTATTGTAATATAACCACAACTTTCTAGTTCTTGGTTATATTTATAGAACATTGCATCTTTGAGAACATCAGAGAGAAAAATTCCAGAAGTTACTAGTTTGCTTTTGTTTTTGTTTTAATTCAACAAGTAAGAATATTGAATGTGGGCCTCCCTGGTGGCGCAGGTGGTTGAGCGCCTCGCTGTGAAGCTGTCCGCAGCCTCTGCAGCACTGGTTCGATACGTGCCAGCTGGCGAGGGTCCCACATGGTGCGGCAGACCTCTCCTGTCTTGCCCACTGCTCCCCTCAGCAATGTATTTCGTCAGTCTGCCTGTTCTGTTCCCCTCTCTGGCTCTGGTGAATCCTCTCACCCTCCCATGCATCTGGTCTGTACGCCTGTTCTTGTATAAAATAAATAAATAAATCTTAAAAAAAAAAAAAGAATATTGAATGGTTGGAACTTCCTGTCTGGTCTGATGAGAGTGGCCCTCCAGAGAAGACTGACCTTTCTAGAGCTTCATCTATAAGACTTGAAATTCTCCACCCCATCCCTACCACCATGACATTGTAGATTGCACCTTCTTCTCCAATCTCTGAAATGACCTATGATTAGTTTCCATTTAGAGATCCTCTTATTTGGAATAAAGGATTTTATCCTTGTCAATTGAATACACAACTATAATTCAAAAATGAATTAAAACTAGATATTCTTGTCTGGAGTTTAGAATTAAGTACACAGGATGATGACTTAAGCATTAATCCTAAATTAAAGAGATTGAACATTAGAGGAAATTATTGTATCACACTATTTGTATGGACTCATAGTAGAATATAATACAACCCTTAGAAATCATATTTTTAAAGTAATTAAATAATAAATAAAAATTCACAGAAAAATGTAAGTGAAAAATCAGGGTTGTAAGTTACACATACTCTCAGGTTTTGTCTTAAAAACCTCAAGAACAGGGCCTCCCAGGTAGCACAAGTGTTAAGCATAGCACTGTGAAGCTATCCGAAACCTCTGCAGCATAAGTTTGATCCCCGGCAGCCAGGGAGCCACCCACATGGCACAGCAGACCTCTCCTGTCTTGCCCAAAGCTCCCCTCAGCAGTGGTTTTCTGTCAGCTTGCCTGTTCTGTTCCCCACTCTGTCTCTGGTGAATCTTCTCACCCCCCGTACCTCTGGCCTGTACCCCAGTTTTTGTATGCATTAATAAATAAATCTTTAAAAAAAAAACCTCAAGATCATCTAAATAAGGAAGCAAAATATTGTAAATTAACAAATTGAAGTGCTAAAAGTAGTTTATTTCTGGGAAAGAGGTTATAAAAGATATCATAGAATAATTATGTAAGTAAATATTAATGACATGAAAAGTTATATTATTATGAAGCAGAAATACAGATTGTGAAATCTTTCATTTTTAATAATCATCCCCTCATGCACTGGAAGCACCAAAATGTTATGAATGATTATCTCTGCATGACTGAATTATGGATGATTTGACTCTCTTTTTAAATTTTATATTATCTTTTTGTATTGGGGGAAAAAAAGGAAAAATAATGTTTCAGGGAACTGTGCCAAATAACTATAAGTCATTTTCAGGGCTATGGATACAAAAGGAATTTTCTTAAATATAATAATAAAAACATATACTGTGACCCAGAAGCTGGCAAGTAAAGCGACAATCGACCAAGAAATCTCATCAAGGTAATGGTGACAAAGGAGCCTGGAAGGGCTCCATCCTGGTCAAAGATTAGGAAACCTGCAGGATATTGTAATACAATACAGGGTATTATAATATTGTAATAAACAATACGCAGGATATTGTTTCTAAAGTCCACCTAATGGTAATATTGGGTCCACCTCAGCCTTACCTCCCTAAGGAGGATTTCCCTCCTCACCAAAACTCACTCAAGACAGATGAGCCTAATAAGTGTTTATGATGTATACCACGTGGGATATAGCACAAGGACAAGGGAGCAGGAGGAACCTGGAGGCAATCAGCCTGGCATCATCAATCCCGGGATGTATGTCCTTGAGGGCAGTGGTATGGAGAAATGCTGGCAAGCTGGCAGTGACAATAACAATGACAATGTGTGCCAAGAACGACTGTGTTGCTAGATGTTCTTTTGTAAGGATAATTGTTTATGATTATTTGGGCCCATTTAATTTTGCTTATTATGTTGTAGGCCTTAACATGTTGATGAAGATACCGATATTGACAATAGCAGCAATGCTCATTAAGCACTCACTGTGTACCAAACATAACTGCATTAGTTCATTTCAAAGTCATCAAAGCTTTATGGTTTAGGTATTATAATTATCTTCATTTTACACATTAGGACTCAAACTCAGAAAGGTTAAGAAATTTGCCCAGGCTCACACAGTAAATGATAAAGCTCTAAAATGATCAAAGTTCTTTCAGATCCCAAGTTCCTGTTTCCTACCACTGAGTTACACTTAGTTCATAATTGCTTAGTTTGTAATTGTCTGCAACAGCAGTTGTAGTTCCCTTGCACAGGCATCCATATCCACTTAGCTCATGCCCTAATGTTACTTATTCATGTAATTTTCTTTTCACGCAGCTTATGGAATGACTATTCCCTGAAGAGCCTTGTGGGTAAAACGTTTCATAAGCCTTCATTTTTCTCCTCAGTACCAATTCCTAGAAGTGGCAATGCTGGATCAAAGAATTTGTAGGTATATGTGGCCAAATTGCCCTTCCCAGAAAAGCTGTGCTCATTTAAATTTGTAGAATACACTAAGCTTTACCTGAAGGTCAAGACAAGGTTTTATATTTTTTTTTAAAAAATTGTAATTAATGATTTAAAAAATGTGAGTCATATGTATATATTTTGGACTGCTTTTCTTAGTTGTGAGATTGAAAGATCTTAATTTATAAACTATATTAATAAGTATGCAAATATTTATGATGCCAACAGCTGTCTATGCTGAAACTGATACTACTGAGGGATACAGGCATGTAATGACAGCATAAAAATTTCAAAATGGACACATCAATTATAAAAGCTTATGTGTCCCTGACTACAGAGCAAAACAAACCACACCAGTCAGTTTCCAAAGTTGTAGGTTTGACTTGCCTAATTGATTAATTCTACATGTGAAAATATCTGCAACTTGGTTATGCAACTTTTTTCCTGTGTTACAAGATTAACTTCCCTAGTACCACACCACATTGTACAAAAGAGTACTTCATTTAATTTATTAACTCACGCATGGATGGGGGAGGGACTCGGCTGTGCCAAGCACTGTGCTTGGGGAAAGAGAAAGATGGAAAGTGGAAAAGGAGTTCAATTTCTGCCCTCGAGGAGAACACTCTCTGTGAAATAATCAGATCTGCAAGTGGATAATTTCAAGATGGAAATTAGAAAAGGCTGGAAAAGGCATAGATAGTAATCTCTGCAAAGTAGAATAAGAATATTTTAGGGGACACTTCAGAGTCATGCTGAGCTAATACATATGAATCTAGGAGCTCTTCCAAAAGGAAAATACTAGACAGACAGACCCAAAATGGTTTGCTACTGAAAGAAAGGGTTATATTTTATTCTAGAGATTGCTTTTGGTGCAGTTACCAATAAGGAGAGGACAGCCACCACTGGGGACTAAGAAATAGTGTGCAGAGCTTTTTATTCTGGATGTGCATTGTCCAGAGTTGGGTCAAACAATCTGGGATTCAATATATCCCTTTGCATAGAGTAGGAAAGTCCTAACAGGGAAGCAGGCAGGGTGGAAGACCCAGCATGTATGGTGGGAGCCCCATATAAACAGAAAGAACTTTAACAGTGATTGACCCTCCAGTGGATGACCCTAAGAAATCATCAGTATTGATATAGATATAGACATAGATGTTGCTATATTATAGATAACAATAATTAGACACAAATCCACCACTAAAGGAAGAAAGAGAGATAAGAATCAGTCTAAGATGACAGGCATAAGAAACTACATTCCCACCCTGCAATCATGCAGATGGTTCAGCCTGGGCCCTGTGTTGATCACACATACTGGAAAACTCCAAATATGGCACATTTTCAATGTTGCCAACAGAGATCTAGTTCCCCTCCCAGAATCACAAGCATCTACATCTTATATCCTAGATAGGGTACTATGCACCTGCATGCAGTTCAGGAGATATCACTGGGAACTGTGAGTTTCCTGGGGCTAATGCAAGGTCTTTAAGTAGTGATGAAGAGAAGGTGTCATAGAACTTTATAGAGAGTTCAAAAGCTATGAGTGATTTCCAAAATCATCCTTTGGCATTAGGCAGTGAAGAGAACAGTAAACTCGACTTTGAGAAGCCAGGTTTACATCCCATCAGCTATAAACTTGCTATGTGATTTGGGGCAGATGATTATAACCTTGAAATTCTTGTCTTCCCATGAAAAAAAAATGTAATCACCCTTACTCTGCTTCCCAGAGTTGTTGAAAAGATAAAAAATACTCTATATGTATCAATCAAGTTACAATGTGCACAAAAGTACATTTCTGTTAACTTTCTTCCCTCTTAAGGAAAAAAAATTCTCTTTCCCTCAATCTAGTGTCCATTTTCTCAGATAAAGGATTTTTCTCAGTGTCCTTTATAAATAATCTTTCCTCCAGTTCCCCTTCTTCCTTTCTCTCCTGAACCAACTCCAGTCATACTGTATATATTTGGTCCTCAAATGTCATGTCTCCCTTCAGCAGCATCAGTGCCCCCTGACCGCTCTCTCTTCCTTGGAAGGCGTCTTCACTTGGATCCCACTCAACTGTGTGTGCCCTCGACTCCTGCTACTTTCACGGTTCCCATGGAGCCAAACAGGAACAGAAGACAGTAGGAGTCAGTGCTCTGCTCCCCAGAAGAGTATTAGGGGAGGGGGTACTAGCTATAGAAAACATAAATGAAAAATGCTTTTGCTATCCTCATGTGCTAGGAATTCTAAACAATTTCACAACTGAAATACGCCTCTCTGCTGGTGTGGGGCCACTCCCATGCCCCCTTTTGCTTTGATGTACTACGGACTGGATCCTCCTTACTTCCTCAAAACCTCACAGGACCCCAAAGTCAGTCCTTACATTTCTCTTCTCTGTCTATCCAAATTCTTTTGAGCTTATTTAATTTCATTTCTGTAAATATCACGCATATATTGATGACTCCCACTCTTTTTCTTAAGCTCACATATCCTCACTGAAGCCCAGATTCTCACATTAACTCACTACTTTACATCTCCTATTTAACTTGTCCAAAAGTAAGTTTCCAATGTTCCTCAAACACCTTTTCCTATCCTGGTCTTCTCTGTGACAGGTGAAGTCCACTCCTTTCTCTCAGTTTCTCAACAAAATCCTTGAAGTCATGCTTGCCTCCTTCCTATCCCATTATCCCTCATTCAATCAACCAACCACGCTTGCCATCACCTCCACGACCACCCACTTGACCAAGCTTCCCCATCGCTCATCTGAATTCTAGTAATAACTCCTTTTTTTGCCTGTCCTCTCATTACCACACCCTCACCTATATTCAACACAAAGAAGGAGGGAGCCCTTTGAAATATAAGTCAGACGTTGACACTCCTTAGTCCAGAATATCCAAAAGGCTCCCCTTTGACTCAGAGTGAAAGTGAAAGACCTTACTATGTCTTACAGGGCTCTGCATTATCTCTGTCCCACTCTGCTCCATTGTCACAATGCTATCTTCACTTTGAGAGACTTGATATTTGTATTGAACAGATGTTCAATAAATAGTTTTAAATAAATGGATCTGTTCAAACACCTCACTTTACTTTGTGCCACATCACCTACCTTCCTAACTCCCTTGAAGCACAGACATTTGAGATATAGGTATAATTTTGAACCAAACTCATGTACAACCATGTGTATGGAAACATGAAAGAGCGGGTTAGTTACACAAATACTTTAGGGCATATGTGTAAACATCGTCCTGGTGACTGGTGACCAGGACACAAGCAAGACCAGAACATTCCCCTTAAACCACCAAGAATTCTGAAACTCAATGTAGAGCACTCACATACTTGTGCAATTCATCAACAGTGTTTGTTATGGAAGAGTCAGGGCCAGGACATCTAAGAACCTTCTATAATTATTCCTTAGGGAATGACTATTTCCTGGACCAAAAGATAAAGCTTAGCAACAATAATCCTGTACATCCCACAAGTTAAGGACTTGCAACATCGCTTTTCTATCTTTCAGATAACTCAGAGAAATAGACTTTCTTAAAATATATTAAAGTCAATCATAGCCATATGTTTTCAAACTATTCCTTATGAGTTGCTCTGTGCAATTTTTAACTATTTTACCCATCTTTCTAATTCCTCTGTATTAACATCTTGCCTTTCTCACTAAGCATATGATAGAATCCACTGAGTTGAGAAGAATGATACTGTTCATTGAGCTTAGAAGTGCTCAATTCTTTTTTTTTAATCTGTGAATTCTGCTGAAAAACATAAATCAGAGAGATGTGCTTTCATTGTCAAATAATGGACCTGAATAGCTATGAGCTTGGACTAAATGTCTGGTTAATATTTGCAATGCTCTTCAAATCTACCACACTGTGCCTGATCTGAAATCCTGAGCCTGGAACTCAGCACGCATGATGGGGTACAGACCCAAACTTCCAGCCTCATTCCCCCAAGCAGTCCCCCAACCCTATCTAACGCCACAGTGAATGCTCTCAGTCCATCAAGAATTCTTCAGACAGTTCTGATTTATGAGTTTTCTTAAATTCTTGTTTCCAGGAACTCTATTCACTTCTATCTATCCAAGCCTGGAGCAAATACCACTTTTTCTTTACAACCATCCCTGGTGGCCACCTACCTAGTTGCTATAAGCCTGCCCCTCAGCGAAAGCAACTACATATTCTTCCTTCTACTTATAAGACCCCTCATATTTTATACTTTTTTGTAGTTATTTGTATTGTACACATCTTTTTTCTATTTTGCTATTTTATTCCATTTTGTTTATTACTGCAGTACAAATAACCATATCTGCATACTGAATTCACTATGATTCCCTGGATTAAATGAACTCATAGACTGAAATTTATCATTAGATATTACATTTTTGAGTAAAAAAAAGATGAAGTATTCTGACAATTTCTGAATGGAGCAACACCTCTTTAGAAGATAAAGATACCACCACCACTTACCCATTTCCCCACTATACACCTAAGGAGAACTCCAAAATTTTCTTGCAAGAAATATTCCTCAGGGACCAAGTTAATAAGGAAAGAGAATTCCATGGAAAAGTCCCCATTCTACATGATGTGATGACTGGATTTCCACTGGATGCTAAGAAGAGGTCAAAGTGCTCTAAAACTTAATTGAAAAAGGAATTTGTGTCTTAATTGAAATTTAATTGAAAGGAATTTTTAATTGAAAGGGATCTTAAGGTTAGTTATATACAATCCCCAAAATGACACAAATAACTCTTCTCTTTAGGGAAACCTGCCCTAAAGAGCTTCTCCTGAGCGGGGAGAAGACCTGTGCTTGACTTTGAGCTCCATGAATCACTGACTCTGTGGCCCTCACAGCCATCACGTCATCTTTCTGAGCCTTTCTGTCTCCATTTTGAATAAAGAAATTAAGTGATATCTTCAAGACCCTTACAACCAGAAAGATATTAGGAATATACAGAAGTCTGCCACAGATAGTGTAACATTGTACATTGTGGTGGGCCCACGGGGATGA